TGTGCATGCCTCAACGGACTAGAGATCGAGCCATCTCCCTAATCTAATCTTCCACAAACATCTGGGTGGCCCTGCAGATAGGCATTTTTCAAAGGAAATAGAGTTAGCACAAATCAGATCAAAATTTATTTTTTAAATGGCAAATCTACTCGCTCTTTTTTAGTGGAGTTTGCAGTTCTCCTAGGGCAGAGGTTCTCAAACTGGGGGGAGCGGAATGTGTTCTGGGGGGGGAGGTGAGGGAAGCTTTAGGGAAAAAAACATACTGCCCCCATTTTACCCACAGCAATGAATTACTAGCAAGCTGATTCCCCCAAAAGTATCAGGTCCTCCGATGGCGCTGGGCATCTGACTTTAAATAACGCTGGGCATTTTGACAGATTTCTGTTAAGCTTGCATAGCATTACACAAAGTCGTTGCCATCTGTACGTTAACCCGTTTGCTACAACGCCGTGTGCACTTTTAATTTTAAGCATGGATCACAATCGCAGTTTTGCTTTTGCTCTTATTACCTTGGATCGTTGGCAGGGAAAAAAAACCTCAAGTGAAAAACAAAGAAGCCGAAACTGATTCGAGTGCAGCACCACCCCCATGTATATCCGTATATGTAGTTGTGTGGTGGGGGGTCGGGCCCCCTAAACTACTCCAGATACCAGAAGGAGGGACGATCAAATAAGTTGGAGGACCACCGTCCTAGGGGAATTGGACTGTGATACAGAACTTTGCACTCGTAGGTCTCAGGTTCTAATCCCGCGCAAGTGGGCTGAGACCGGAAAATCGGTCGTAGAGCTAGTCAGACAGCGCGAAATATTTTTCATGGGAAAACTTCATAAATTTCAATTTAAAAAAAATTCCTTGAACTGTTTTTGGTTTTATTATCGAAATCACAAGCTGCAAAGAATTCAGGTTTTGCAAATGGTTTTCAGTAAGAAATTTCACTGTTCAAAAACCAAAAACATTTCACCAAACTTTTTTTGACTGTTTGTGTCCTTCCGCCTCCCCCAAAAAATCTGCAAAATTTCACCCCCTTAAAATCTTTTTGCAAAAATATTTATTTTTCTTGAAAAGCTGGTTTTTGTCCCCAGAAATGGTTCAACAAACTCTATTTTTTGTTAACCAGGTGTAATCTTTAAGATGTGCTGACGGTTCGGGGGCCAGTGTGAATGGGTTGTGGGAGTCCGTGGAGTCACGGCAGGGAATGAATTCATGAATAAAAAACACCCCAAGAGTCAGAAGACGAAAGCTGAACCCTCCCTCCCGGACTCGTCCCCACCTTGCTCCGTGTATTGTTGTTGTCACCTGAACATAAGGGATGTAAGCCGCTGACTCAGGAGTGTTTACTTCCCATTTTGAAGGGGTGTAAATGGCTGTACCGAATGCAAGAATAAAACTGACGACTGTTGGGATGGAACCTGGGACCTCTGAGGCTTCGTGTAGGAGCTTCTACTGTAGGGGGGGCAAACTACAGCCCGGGGGCCACATCTGGCCCTTCAGACATTTTAATCTGGCCCTCAAGCTCCTGCCGGGAGCGGGCTCTGGGGAGCAGGCTCCAGGGCTTGCCCCACTCCATGTGTGTCGTTCTCTGCATGGCTCCCAGAAGCAGCAGCATGTCCCCCCTCCAGCTCCTACACATAGGGGCAGCCAGGGGGCTCTGCACGCTGCCCCTGCCCCAAACGAGACTCTGGCATGCTAACTAGTTATGCGACCCCCGAGCATGCTCAAATAAATTTGTTAGTCTCTAAGGTGCCACAAGTACTCCTTTTCTTTTTGTGAATACAGACTAACACGGCTGTTACTCTGTAGCCTATTAGTGTGAAACCATTTAAGTACATCTGCGGTTATTCCCTTTCTTTGCAGCTCTAGTCAGACTGAGATAAGTGAAACAACAGTTCCTTGCTTGAGTTAATATAATTAACTTTGCCAGTAAAGCTGGTAGAGGATCTGCTGGTATTATCTTAATAGCCTTCCCCTGCTTTGTAGCACTCAAGAGTATTAGTAAAATTAGCAGCTAAAAGTAATACACATCATAGACTACTCCCAGAGTTGAGATGAAATAACCCGCCTGTGTCAAGTTTGTTAGGACATCTATTGAACAAGTAGGGTGGACAGCTTCAATCACCTCTTATCAGCATCCTCAGAGATATCAGCTAATGGCCCCACCAGAAACATTATGCCATAACATAAATGTGCTTTTCAAACACTCAAGGGTGTGACATTTACCACCACCACCAAGCAGAAGACACTGATTATCTGTCTGTCTGTCCCTGACAGGACACGCTGCCATGCTTGGAAAAGTGACTTAAATCCCATTTGTTGTTACATGTGGTAGTGACAGGGGGATACCAAAAACACTCTCTACATTTTATGATCACTTTCCGTTCCTCCCAGAGGAGTCTTTGATATCAGTTGCACCTGGAGTTATTCCAGATTTAGGTGTTTAGTCATAGGTGTGAGTGACTTCAGACTCTGGTCCCACACGTGGTCAATAACTGGAAAAGTAACTGTAAAAATGGACCCCTTCCCCCAACATATCTACATCCTTTGCATCTTCAAGTCAGATTTGCTCACTGAGCAGCCTAAAGCAAAGGGTTGTGTTCTTACCCTTGCAGAGCCAGTGCCTTTTGGGGAGATGAGCTGGATGTTGGGCTGCCTTATTTACTGTCAACAAAGGCATCAGCTAAATTCCAGGAGCAGAATCTTTATTGCTAGTGACAACCTCTGAGGTAGAAAGAGCCCAGCTGATTTCAAGATCCCAGGATGCGCTGGCAGAAGTGGCAGATGGAGTGAAACCTCTTTGTTTTTTAACAGAAACTGAGCCCATTTTGTAAGGAATCAGTGAAAGAGAATAAATATGGAATTCCATGTTGCGATTCCTGCAGGGTTATTTGGCTGCCTTACAACCTTCCTTTACATTTTTAAAATGTTTTGCTTTTAGAGGAGAACGGTTTATTTTATCAGCGTGTGAATGCAAGGGACAAATCCACTCTGATTTAGGTTATAAGTTCCTTAGGGACCAGGGCCATTTCTGTTCTATGTTTGTACTGTACTTAGCACCATGAGGCCCTGACCTCCAGTGGCTACCACAATAGAAATAAATAATAATAATAATTGCGTTATCTAAATACAACCTATCTATTTGATCTCTGGTATTGCTAAGAGTCCGGCCCCTTGGTGTCTAAGCATTGCTGACTACAAACCGAGCCATAAGCCTATAAACGGAGAGGAGCCCTGTATCCCAATTTTTAGATGGTGAAACTGAGGCACGCAGTGGGGAAATGACTTGCCCAATGTCACGTAGCAAATGATTTCTCCAAGGTGACATCTGGACTAAACCCTGGTACCCTCACTCCCAGTCTAACTGTGAGACCACAAAGATTGAGGCAGACCATGACAGGAGTTTCAGGGGATAATAATGCTTCCCCGCCGTGGTAAGGGACTTTGAGACCTTAGGGGGGTGAGCACTGGGGAAGTAGAATGTCTCTCTTCTTTGTTAGTGTGTGTGGCCCAGCCCTCAACTCTCACAGATCTCAGAACACAGACTAGGACACTGCGGAGTTGAGGGGAAAAGCACCAGTGTAAGAGGCCTGTGTCTCCACCCCACATAAGCTGTGAACTCCAAACGGGACAATGGCTGGGTGTTTGTGACTGCCCCTCACGGCAGTGACTGCAGAGAACCGATATCGGGAGATCGCCTGAAACACTGATAACTGGCAAACTGCCTCGTATACCTTTCTAAAGGACTGGGAAAGGCCATTGCATCCCCTCCTCTCACCCTCGGAAATGCTGATTTTCAAGGAAACCAGAGAGATGCCATCGGACATGGCCAAACAACCCATTCATTTGGGTTGGTTTTTTTGGGTTTCAGTCTGGGCAGTGCTAATGATTGGTGTCGACTTCACTGCATGCATCCAGGAACTGGACATTTTCTCCTGCACTTTATCTTCTCTGGCTTCAAGGCTGACGGCCCATGCAGGTCTGTTGCACATCAGATTTATTGCCATACCAGCAGTAGTTTATATAACCCCCCCAAAACACTTGGGGATCAGTGCTATAACCCGGAGTGGTACTGAAAGCTCAAAAGGCTCCCATTGAACTGTGGTGTGTAGAGGGCATGTTGGCAGCGTAGCTTGCGGGTTTGGAGGGGCTGTCGCAGGAGCAGGGATCAAATGCTGTCTCTTCCTGGTCATTTTCACTTCTTGGTCAGGAATGAGCCCAGCCCTGTTGAAACTGGGCTCGTGGTTACACTTTAAAACAAATTTTCATCTATCTGTTTTTTTTTCTTCTTCAAACGTTTCCAGGCTTTGTGCCCTCACCTCCTTATTGCCCCACTTTTTAATAGATAAAATGCAATTTGTGGCTTAAACCCCCATCTCTTATCATCCCTTGCACACCTTCCCTTCACAGCTGCCTTTTGCCAGAAGGTGGACTCTGCATTTGTTTAATGAGATCGCTGTTTCTGCTGCTGGCAACCACATGCTCGCAGACTTTGTTGGGGAGGCCAGGCAGGGGCTGTGCCCCAGAAAAGGCAACCACAACAGGAGAGGAGTGACGGAGCCATGCTGCTGCGGCCTCCCCCTTTTACACGGCAGTTATCAAACACACTGTAGATTGTTCCTACAGAAACACCCAGCCATAGGGCTTCTAAAATTCTCCGTCCCTTCACACTCCATGGCTGCTTGCACACGCTGATCCAGGCTTGGATGTGCAATGGCCCATATCTGTGCACGTTAGCCCATATCTGAGCACTTTTAAAGCACATCCACTGCAAGCTCTCTTGACAGCATAGGGGTTTGGTTTACAATCAACCAGAGAGCCTTCCATTTTAGGAGATTAGAGCTACATATTCTTGCTCTCCCTATATTATTGCTCTCTCTGTATATTTCTCTCTCTCACTAAACTGACTGTAATAACAGAGAACATTGATGATCTCCTAGTGATGCCTGGTTTAAGTGATTAGTGATTAATTCCTTCCATTGCTTTGTGTTCTCTCTCTCTCCCTGCAGGATATTTTCACACCAGAGTGCAAATTTAAGGAATCGGTCTTTGAAAACTACTACGTTATTTATTCTTCCACACTGTACCGGCAGCAGGAGTCTGGACGAGCCTGGTTCCTGGGGCTCAATAAAGAAGGTCAAATTATGAAGGGGAACCGGGTGAAAAAAACCAAACCCTCGTCACATTTTGTACCCAAACCCATTGAAGGTATGGACAGTTCCCACTCCCTCTCCCCTGGGGCAGATGTGAGCCCCCAGGGGGTAATGGGTAGAAGGGAGGTAGACTGTACTATGGTTCAGCAGAGTGGAGTGGGGACTATACCCTACAGCAGGGACAGTGGTGTAAGAGCTTCAGATTTGAAAGACGCTGCACCATCGATATCAGAGCCTGGCTGGCTGCCTTTGCTGTGAGCTCCGCAGCGCGTCCCAAACCGTGAGCCAGCAGGTTGGGTTACTAGAGAATGAGCTGTAAAACCCAACCAAACGGGCGGTACGGGCTGAGTAAAGAGCATAGTACAGGGATGGTCAAGCCTTTTACCTAGGTCATAAGTTCAAATACAACCTTTGTCTGAAACGGCCACAATGTGTTGCCATCTCTGATAGCTCCTTGGAAGCCTTTGTCAAGAGTCTGGGGGAATCTCAGTCCAATTCCAAGTCACCAGCTGTCCACCTTGCAGAATGTGTCTCTGGCGAGAGAGCCGGGACATAGACAATGAACTACCCACCCTCCCCTGGAGGCTGTCCTGACACCCCAGGGGCAAGGCATGTGATCAGGCCAGCACATGGGCAGCTTGCCTTGATGCACCCATCCTGTGGTCCCCAGGGTTATTCACCCTAGTGCCCTTCACAGGCACTAACTTTACATTGGAAACAAACCCAGAAGTTTCCTCCTGGTGACGAAAAGTGAACGGTCTTGTTCCCAACAGGAATTCCTCAAGGAGGAGGGAGGGGCCTAGGTCTGTATTGTCAGTGTCAGAAATATTTACCTAAGACGAGAACATTTCAGTGGGCCAGCATTGCTCTCTCCATCTTCTCCAAGTCCTCCGCAGCTCCCAGGGCTCGTCTATACACCCAGAGTTACACCGGCCTCCCTAAAAGTGGGGTTTTAACCTGGTTTCATTCAGCCAGTGCACAAGGCTGTTTGGGTGCTCTTATTTTGGTTTAAAGCATGCTTATTTCAGTTTAGCTGAACTCTGTTAGCAATGGGTTATAGTTGAACCACAAAAAGCTGACATAAGAGTGTCCACGCAGGGTTTGCACTGATAGCTGATGCAAACTTGTGTGCAGACAAACCCCTGACAAACGCTGATACTCTGCTCAGCATGAGTGGCTGAAATCCAGAACCAAACTTCTTTTCAGGGCAAAAGGAAAGGGAGGAAAGAAAATAAGAGAGAGAGAGAGAGATGCTGAGGGCTGGTCAACACAGAATTCCACCAGTGTAACTAAAGATGCAATTTTTACCCTGATTTAGTTAGGCCAGTGGCACTGTGTGTGTGGACACGTACGTTGGCTTAAACCTGGCTTACAGCCATTTAGCTTGTGTTGGTAAATTTACTTGCACGAGCTGAACTGACAGAACCAGCTTTACCCTTCTAGGAGACTGCACACACCGCTGCGCCAATCTAACTAAATTGGTGTAAGTCACACCAGTGTAGCCTGCGTGCAGGCAGCCCGAGGCACTGCTGTGGTGTTTGCCTAGGATGGATGGCTTTAATTAGGAAGTGTTTTCTCTCCTGCTAACAAAAGTAGCAGAACAGAGGCCAGGCGCTGACTCTGGAGCTGTCAGGGGCTCAGAGCGAGGGCTGAAATGGCTTCAGACCTGCAGCTTTTCTGTGCTGCTCCCAGAGTGCGTTGTCCTTTGCTCGGAGGAGAAGATTGGGCTCCCTGAAGAGTGGAGATGAATGGCATGAGAATGGCAGGAAATCCCTTCGGGCAGGTGGCTGAGACAGATGAATTCCAGACCACGTGTGAACTGCCCTGCACCCCCTTCCCCCACAGCTGCATCGTCAAGGTCATTAGTAGCAGAAAACCATGCAGAACCTAGGCCTGAGTCTCTGTGGCTGCCAGGCACTGGCTCTGAGTTGAGGATGCCCAGTTGTGGGACTCCCTCTCTGGAGCCCGCAATGGTCACCATTGGAGTATGCAGCCAGCCTGTTTATCTCACCTGGCCTCCCTCTGACCATTTCCCTCACCACTTTCTTGTCTGTCTCCTCCTCACCCCCTGTCCCCAGCTTCGCTGGGGTGGGACTCGTTTGGGAGTGGAGTGGTTTCCCCAACAGCAGCTGGGTTTGCCCTTGTGGCAGATATTTCGGTGCTGCCTGGCTGTGTGCGGTGAGGGGGGGGTCCCGTTTGCTGCTATGTATTTGGGTTTTCGTGTGGGGCCCAGTCGGTGCATGGTGGACGGATGTCACTGGGACCCTGTTCCCTGCGAGCCACACGGCTGGGAGGCAGAGAGGCCTGACTCAGGGCTGCATTCTCCTGACAGTAGATGCTGCTGATGCTGCTTCAGTTTCCAAAACCCCAGCGCAGCCCTGGCGTTCCTTTCCCTCGCCTGCATCCCTCTGCCCACGGGCGCGTCAGTCATCGCTGCCATCCAGAGCGAGCAGGGAACCTGGCAGCCACAGTCAGGAGTCCTCCACCCCTTCCCTTCCCCAGCTGCATCCAAGAGCTGGCTGCGGCCCAAGCAATGGCACGTGCAGCCTGCCAAAGCCTTCCGCTGTCTGGGGCCGCGGCTCGAGCAGGGCTCTCTTCCCAAGCCGAAGGTGAGTGGTCGGTGGCAGAGGTGGTGGAGTGAAGTTGGCTCCGTTCCACGTGACTCGGCTCTGCCCCATCCACCAGGCTCTGCGAGCGGGGCTAAGGCGAAACACAAGCCATGGTGAGAGCATTGATGCCAGCAGCCACCCCCACCATGAGTCTGAGACGGACACGGAATATTTCACGGGAACGTCCCGGCCAGGGTGAAGGTCCTGGATGGCCCTCTCGGGCCTGGAGGATGGAAAGAGGTGACCTGTATAGGACCTTTCCCCCCAAGGCTGCGTGTGTGACTGTTTACCTCTCCTCCTATGTGTTTGTAGCTCAGCCAGCCCTAGAGCACCCCGATCCTTTGTGTGCAGCCATAATAGGGTGGCTACTGTCTGAGCACCCCCCGGTGGCCTGGGGTACCTCTCCAGAACACTGCCTCTCTTTTCCTTCTTCAAAACTCCACGCAGTCCTGCTCATCCAATCGCAGCCCTGCTTGCGGTCCAGTTTCTTTATTAACACAGAGTTCAAAAAAACAAATCTTAACCCCTGCCTGATGGTGGGCACAGCCCCTGTCCCCCGTCCCGCCCCCCGGAGGTGTGTCCCTTTCTGTTGTCGGGGCAGCAGGAGGAAATGCAAGGCCAAGGCTGGTCTTTTTGCCTTCTCCCAAAGCCCCAGCCCCCTTCGCCGGGTACCACTGTAGGAGACCCTCCCTCCCAGCCACTTCTCTTCTGCAGTTCCCTTTCTACCTGTGTCTCTTAGATCTGACCTCCCTCTGACCCTTTTTAGCTCAGGTGCAGCCCCAGCCCCCTTAAAATGCCCCTGCCGCAGGGCAAGGCTATTATCCCTATGCTGCAGAGGGGGAACTGAGGAACAGAGAGATTAAGATACACACCCAAGTTCACACAGGAAGTCTGTGGCAGAGCTGGGAATGGAAGCCAGGTCTTCCAAGACCAAGGCTAGTGCCTTAACCACTGAACAAGCCTTCCTCTTCCTTTGAGAATGTGACCCCCGTGAAGGCCATGAGGGTTAGTGCTGGGAGGTGTGTCTGTTGAGGAGGATTTTTGCCTGCTGGAGAAGAGAGGCTTCACAAACTACATCTACAGAAATCACGTCACCCACCACTGAATGGCAGCCACCTCTGAGGTGAAACTTGGCAGCATTTTACCAGTGTGCACAAAACTACACAGCAGCTTAGTTAAAACAAGAACTGCAGAAACACCAAAACCAGGCCTCCGTGCTCTAATAGCTACCAGCCGAGGGAAATGTGTTCTTTTACTTCAACTGGTGAAACTGTTGCTTCTGGATTCAGAATCCAGTGCGAGTGCCAACAAGACCGAAGGCTAACAAATGCAAAACACCTCAAAAATGTCTTAAAATGGCTTTTCTATACAGAAAAAGCAAATTTTAAGGCATGTTGACTCTACAAAAATGCTTTCAAGTCCTACAACCTGAAGGGTATTTGGGGATCCTTAGTTAATGTATGGCAAGATGCCAGTGTGGGATACAAGCACACACGCTGCACACCTCTTTTGATATTTCAATTTTTGGTTGCTGTGGCTTGAACTCAAGGAGCCATTAAAACGTGAGCTTGTGGCCTGAGCCAGGCCAGTTGTCATGTGTGGAATCACGGCTTGGGCCCTGTGCAACCTTTTAAAGCCATTTCAATCTGAGTGTCTATAGCCGCAGGGACTGAACCTATCCTCTGCCCCGCTGCCAAGCCAGTGGGAGTCTTTCCATTCACTGCCATTGGCTTTGGATCAGGCCCTTACAGTGGGACTATTTGGCTGTTTATATCAACTCTGCCCCTTCGTAGGGATATTTCCTGCTTCGCTCTCCAAAGTACCTGCATTTCCCCTTTCCTAGCACTTGACCCTGGAACCAGCGTGCAGCCCAAGGGGAAGGTGGTATCTTCCTTCACTCAGCTGAGAGGCCCCAGGCCTGCTTTTGCAGCTTGGCATTGCAGTTAAGCACCATGGCTTGAGCCAGACCTCCTCTGTGGTGGAGAATGGTCAGTGGGTCGCCTGATCCTACCACCTCCCTTCCTGCCCTCATAGCTTCCCGGCAGGCTGGGGTACAAGGGGCATCGTACAGAGGCCCCTGAGTCTTCCCCAACTCTTTCCCCATAGTGGATCTACGCCAGTTCTGCTAAATCAGAGCCCTCGGTCGCCACGGTGAAGTGGAAAGGGGGAATTTCACTCCCAGGTGCTGTCTGCACTAGGAAGATGTAGCGTGTTCAGCCCCAGTAAACACGGATCATTGTCTTTGTGTCTAGTCGGTGCTGAGCAGCATTTTGGGGGGCATGGATCAACAGTCATGTCACACTGCGTGTCACTACCCAGCCCAGGCCGGAAAGCTAAGGATCCAACCAGCGGACCAAATTCGGTGACGAATCCTGGTCGCATGCCACCTGAGGCACATTGCACATATGCCAAGAAGAAGCAGCATTTAAAACCCTGTTCATTACCCTTTGCTAGACACAGCTTGTTTTCTTGTATCATCAGGGCCCTAGAATTGCAGGATTTTGCACAGAGTCTCTCCCACGCTTGCTTCGCTGGGCCTGCACTGAAACCCTCGCGCTAGATCCCGAAGGAAGAAAAGGGATCACTTTCAGCTTGTGTTTCCTTGGCGTTTGGGAATAAAAGTGCGGAGTCACCCTCGGACACGCTGTGGTTCCATCTGGCGGCATCCTGTGTGTTCAGCTGCCAGGCAGCAACTAGCTCAGCCCGTCTGCAACTCACATCAGCTGGGATTTCCTTCCAGCCTTTCTTGCATTAATTAAGGCAGAAAACCAAGGTGCATAATGACCTGACTCCCTTCCCACATCTGGTGTTCAGTCAATTAAATCTCTTCAATGGAGCCTTGACTAATACAAGTGACCCTCCTTCCAAGTCTCGGGGGTGACGCTCCCAGGCCAAGTTCTGCATGTGGAGTGGTGATGCTATGGGTGGGGGAGAGCCAGGACTGGGGCAGAGCCAGGGGACCAGTACTGTTCCCTCCCCAGCTGCGCCGCACCCACCAGAGTCAGGACATGGAGTTTGATGCATCTACATGATGCTGATCATCCTCCGCTCACATTGGCATGAGGGGGAAGATGCTCAGGATCAGGCTCCCAAGGGGCGTGTGCTGCTCTGAGCTCCAGCAGCCAATGCTGCACAATGAAATGCGGATGTGGGCTTATCTGGCAGAAGGGGGAGGAACAGGGAAGTGGGAATGGTTGGGGACTTGCTCTGGTCGGTCATTATAGAGTTAAGTTATTTCTGCCATTATTCTCTCTCTATGCATCGTTATCCTCTTTCCAGGCAGGAGATCGATGCCGTGGGATAAATCGATTCTTGCACTCTCTCTCTTTGATCATTAATTCCTTCCCCATCTTTGGCTACGTCTGATACCGTGCGTCAGCTGGATGGCTCCAAACAGCGAACCGCGCTCCCGTGGAAGGCAGACATGCCCATGCAGGCCTGGGCCGTGCTCTCAGCACCACCAGCTTTCTCCCCCCACACTGGGAGCGCCACCTCCTGGCGTGGAGCGACACCTGATTTCCAGCGGTGCGAGAAAGGGGAGTCTCAGGCCCGCAGCATTAGCCCCCTTGATCTGAGATCCGGTGAACCAAACTTCTGGGTTCCCGGAACCTCCATCGCGTGCCCCTATGGGCTGTGTGCAGGCTTCGTTGCTTATCAAGAGGCGCTGGGAGGCATAATTAGCCCATAACAGCGTGTTATTTACGTAGGATTGTTGTTCTTGCTTCTGTCCCTGGAGACGCCATTTTCCCCACAGCTTTGGGTGCCTCGCTAGCACGCCAGCAAAGCGAGGTGCCGTGTGGTGGGGTCGTTCTGTAACCAGTCCCCTTCACTTGTGCATACAAGGTGCTCCGGGTAGGGAGGGAAACTCCCATGTGGGTATGTGGTGCACAAGAGAACATTACTTGTGTCTCATGTTTGACAAGACTGAACCAGTTTGCACTATGGATAGCCTGCTTTGCCTGATAGCTGAACCATGCTGTCAGGCTAAAACGTGTCCCTGGGGTTAACCCAGCCAGCCTGAGTAAATGGGATCCCAGCTCCAAAGCTAGTAGAGATGGGAATTGTGAGGGACAGCAGGACGTGTGAGAGGCTAATTTTGCCATCCAGCCCTCCACCATTTCACACTCACACGACTGCCAAAGCTGTGGAACTAGCCCACAGGTCAAACGTTGATTCTTCAGCGCCTAGCCCATGTGGGCGCCCAGCGCTATTGGGGCGCAAGGGGAGTACTTGGAGCAGAGGCAAATGACGATGCGATGTGCAAGGCAAAAGAGAAGCAGCAGAGACGGGCTAGTGGGCAGTAATGGTGATGACGTTGACGTGCACAGTTTGTGTCCATCACAAAAAGTGCCATCAAGTGGCTGGCAGGGCAGAATTCCTGGATTTTATGCCTAGTTCTGGCACGGACTCAATGCGCAAACTTGGGTAAGTTCCTTATTCTCTTTGCTTTATTGATAATTTTACCTACCTCAAAGGGGCGTTGTGAGGCTTAGTTATGCTGTGTATTTAAAGTGCTTGGAGGGAAAGTGCTGTATGGTCAAAATAGTATTTTTCATTGGTCATGTTTGCAATGCAACATCAATTACATTAGTGCACACTTGACTGCTCTTCATCTCTGCCCTGGATTGTTATGCATCACTATAAATGTTCATCTAGATGGGAGTAAAAGGCAAAGTAACAGTGCCATTTCAATCTAGCCCTAAGTGGCAGGAGTTATTCCTAAATCAGGGAAAGGCTATAAACATAAGGACTGAATTCATCTTTCTATAGATGAAGAATGGTTTCATTTATTCAGCTATTTTGGAATGGAATTAGTTTGTTTTATGTTGTGTTTATGTTCTTGATGATGAGCCAGAACCGAAGCGTTGCAGGCTTGCTTCTCCCCTGCTTTACACTGTCTGCAGTCGTTTCCACGGCAATTCTCTAGCAACTCGGGATGGACAGACTGCACGCCTGCTTTACACAGGCAAAGGTGTAAGGCTGGCAGGATCAGGCCTAACATCCCCGGAATGATGGCAGGATCAGGCCTAACATCCCCAGATTTGCAAGCTGACCCCATCTCTCATTCTCATCCCCAGCATATTGGGCCTTGAAACATCGCTATTTTGATGACTGTTAGAGCTATGCCGTGTTTGCAATTGTTGAAGATTGACCTCATGGGGCTAACTCCTGAGACCCTTGTTCAGCACTGACTCTGTGTTTGTTTCTGCCTTTCTCAGGGCTAGATCATGGCATACACATCCTTAGAAAGAGGCAGCATGTAGGCACATCACCCCAGGCAGAGTGTAGGCTGGTGCTGTGTCTCAGGGAGGGACAGTTTCTCCTTGGTCTCTCCAGCTGCACTGCAGGGAGGAGTAATAGGTCACCTTTTTATAGGAAGCCATAAACTCCCCTTCCTGCATTGCCAGCCCCCTCTGCTGACTGCCACATGTGGGGAAGGAGCGACACAAAGCCATGGCTCTGTCCATGCCCCACCAGGTTGCTCCCAGGGGAATGACAGAACAAGGAGCAATAGTCTCAAATTGCAGTGGGGGAGCTTTAGGTTGGATATTAGGAAAAACTTTTTCACTAGGAGGGTGGTGAAACACTGGAATGCGTTACCTGGGGGGGGGGTGGAATCTCCTTCCTCAGAGGTTTTTAAGGCCCGGCTTGACAAAGCCCTGGCTGGGATGATTTAGTCAGGGATCGGTCCTGCTTTGAGCAGGGGGTGGGACTAGATGACCTCCTGAGGTCCCTTCCAACCCTGATATTCTAGGATTCTATGATTCTGATGGGGGAAGTGTTTCTCTCAGACTTGTGATGCCCACACCTCCTACGTGGCCACACAAGGGAGGGGATCCTTTCTCCTTCTTACTTTGCTGCACAGCCACTTAAGGGCATGGCATATTCTGGTCTGCAGTGAGTTAAATAGCAGAGATACTGACTGAACTGCTCTGTTCATGGCTGGAGGGGGTTTCAGTTGGAAGCACAATATCCAGATCCGGAAGTTGAACTCCCTCCAAGGTGGGCCCGGATGCAAATGTTTTTGTTTTGGGGGGGGTCTCATTGTTTCTTGTCAGAGATTAAGGACTGGGGAATGGGCTAACTCGTTGATCTTCTGCTAGCTAATATTGGCATTGTGAGCTAATGTGCACTGTTGTGAATCGGGATGTTCATTTTATATGTGTATATATTTGTATGTCATAAAAAACATGGAGTCTAGAGAGCCTTATCTGTGAGAGACCTGAAACCATTCGCTTGTATTTGTGCCTCTTGGAGGGCGTAGACTTCAAAGGGTCTGACTGCCAGCACAGACAGAGAACCGTGAATAATAACGGAATATATTACTGGGATATTAAGGCTTTTCTGCATGTGTGTGGCAGGAAAGGGGGTGGGGGACAAGGAGGCTAGGTTCGGGAATACATAAGCAAATGCAAACAGTCAAAGACCTCTGTCTCTGGGATAGTGTGAAAGCTAATTGTTGCCCTTTCTGTTTGCAGTGTGCATGTACAGAGAGCCATCGCTGCATGAAATTGGAGAAAAACAAGGACGCTCAAGAAAAAGTTCAGGGACACCAACCATGAATGGAGGCAAAGTTGTTAACCAGGACTCAACATAACTGACACACCCCTCTCCCTCTCTTCCAGTTCTTCCCTTCCCACTCACCTACCCACCCCACCCGGCGAAACCACACTGAGACGACAATAAACTGAGCAAGGCAGGACCTACCAGTAGCGGCTAGGATTCTGAACTCAAAAATCTTTCTTTGTGTAGGACGAGGAAATCGACTCCCAAATCTTGTCTGTTGCAACGTTTCAAAAAAAAAAAAAAAAAAAAAAGAAGAAAAAATGTTTTAAATCAGGACTCCATTAACATTTTAAAAGCAAACTGTTTGCTCTTTGATCAAAAGGAAAAATCTCTTCTCTGCATAGTAATAATAAATAATTATTAACTAATACATAATAATAATAATAATTAATAAAGATGTTACCGTTAAAAATAAAAAAAAGCTTTTGGAGAATTGAACTTAGCACATGATATGCTGAAAACAAGCCAGGTTCTAAAAACTGACTTCTCTGTGCTTTTGTGTTATTCTTTGCTCTCACACACAAACCCGCATCATTCCAGTCCTTTCCCCAAGCGGCTGCACCCGGTTTCCACAGGGCAGAAAAGGTAGGGATGGATTAAGATTCTGTGTCCTCTAATATCAGTAAAGTATGGCCCAGCCGAATTAGGATTCTGACAGTCCCAAGCAATGAACGAGTGACGGTGCAAGTGGCTTTGCCAGTCCCAGTAGCGCAGCACGTAGTTATTTGTTGTTGCTACTGGTATTTGAGCAAGTTTGAAGATGGAGAGAGAGCTTTATGCCTTCCTCCGCCATACAAACATTTTTTACGACTATTAGGTGCCAGAGCAGGTTCAGAACGAGGTGTTCAGGTCCCACAAGGGGAAACGGTTAAGTTTATTAGGGGTGAGAACATCGAATAATAAATGAGGGGTAATCAAAAGAGAGCAAATAAAGCTACAGCGATACCTGCTGTTGAGTAGAAAGGAGGAAGAGCTCAGTAGAGGAGGGGTGTACGTGCACATGGGCGAGAGAAAGGGGTGTCTGAGGAGTGGGGCAGAGAGTGGGGAGAGAGAGAGTGGATGCTAGAACATTTTCCTTACCAATTAGCTGACCTCTCAGCAACCACTCTTATGCTCCCTGTATTTTTCACTCAGACCATGTTGAAGTCCCAAGCCGACGGTCTCCCTGTGAGGCCCTGGAAATCTCCACAGAGCTGCATTAGCAATCGGGGGCCCAACACAATCCCTGGGAGTTGGGTCTCCCCTGGATTCTCATTGCCTGAGCAGTAAGTTGCAAGAGGCCCGTGCCAGTTCCCTGGCAGATTGGAAAGGGGGCTGAGCGTAGCAGATTGGAAGGGGCAGCGTGGCACACACCTACCAACTCAAGCCAACTTTCTGATTGCAGAAAACTGAACACCCTTGCCCCGCCCCCCCCCCAACGCCCCAACCCTGCTCACTCCATGCCCCTCCCTCCCTTGCTCACTCCCCGACCCTCGCCCACTTTCACTGGGCTCACGCAGGGGGTTGGGGGCGGGGGTGAGGGCTCCAGCTGGGGGGTGTGGGCTCCAGGGTGGGGCCAGAAATGAGGGGTTCAGCGTGTGGGAGGGGATTCCGGGCTGGGGCAGGGGGTTGCGGTGCAGGGGGGTGAGGACTCCAGCTGGGGGTGTGGGCTCTGGGGTGGGGCCAGAGGATGAGGGGTTTAGAGGGTGGGAAGGTGCTCAGGGCTGGGGTTGGGGTGTGGGAGGGGGGTAACCTAAGGTGGCTCCTGGAAGCAGCCGGCATGTCCCTGTGGCCCATAGGTGGAAGTACGGCCAGGTGGCTCTTCACACTGCCCCCGGCTGCAGGCTCTGCCCCCGCAGCTCCTATTAGCCGTGGTTCCTGGCCAATGGGAGCTGTGGAGCTGGTGCTCAGGGCGGGGGCCTCTCATGGAGCCCCCGTCCGCCCCTGTGCCTAGGGGCCGGACATGCCGGCCACTTCTGGGAGCAGTGCGGAGCCAGGACAGGTAGGGAGCCCGCCTGAGCCCTGCCACCCCGCCGGCCAGCCTTTTAACAGCCCGGTCAGCAGTGCTGACTAGAGCCGCCAGAGTCCCTTTTCAACTGGGCATTCTGGTCAAAAACCAGATGCCTGGCAACCCTAGAGTAGTGGCAGAGGGAATAGATGCTTTGAATGTAATTGAAAAAGTGACGAAATCAGAGACAGGCAATGGGGGAGGGGGAGAAGCATTGAGTTGATATGCAAAGTGTAATCTTCACGCTGGTCCTTTCTATGGCTAGTGAGAACAAATGAGCATTTGCTGTGGAAGATAAATTTCCCTTTAGGAAATAAATCAGGCTTCAGCCCTGCAGGACACCCACAGGCAGGGGAGTGGGCTTTGCCACTCTCTGCAAGCCTTTGTTTGCACCCCACCCACAGCTGCTAAGCCTGTCCCTCTGCTTTACAAAGCCCAGACACACACCCCACCATAGGCCCAGGTTCTGTGTGGTGCCGTAAACTCTCACTTCCCATGCACAACAGTGAAGTCAATGGGAGCGGAGGCTGCTCAACACCTAGTCCGTTCAGTGTCTTAGCCCACCTCCACCGCCATGAAGATAAGAATGCCACACTTGGTCAGCCCAGTGTCCTGTCCCTGACCATGGCCAGTGCAAGGTGCTTCAGAGAGAATGACCAGGACAGGCAATTATTGAGTCACCCATCCCAGAGCCAACCCGTGCCTGCTGATGGGGCAGTGAGGGCAGCTACCTTCAGCAATGTTACTGAGCATGCTCAGTACAAGCCAAGCAGCAAATCTGGGGGGGGCACATGACCCCTGCACACCTCCCACACACACACACACATAGCCTATGCCTGACAGTCAATTCCAGCTTCTGTTCTGGGACATCCAGACCATGGAGTTGTGTCCCTGATCATCTTGGCTAATTGAATCAGGCAAGTTCCTGGAGCACAGGTCTGACAATGGCCTACTTTTGACCTTCACAACATCTCATGGCAATGAGTTCCACAGGTTGACTGTGTGTTGTGTTGCCTTTTGGTTGTTTTAAACTTTCTGCCTATTAATTTCATAGGGTGATTCCTGGTTCTTGTGTTATGTTTAGGGCGGTAAATAACACGTCCCTGTTCACTTTCATCAGACCATTCATGATTGTATAGACCCCTATTATATCCCCGCTCAGTCAGTCCTTCGAAGGTGAGCAGTCCCAGCCTTTGTACTCTCGCGTCGTACGGAGGCTGTTCCATCCCCCTCATCATTTTCATTGCCCTTCTCTGCAGCTTTTCCAATGCTAATATACCGTTTTTTGAGATGGGGTGACCAGAACAGCAGCCAGTATTCAAAGGCTGGGCATACCATGGATTTCTGTGGTGGCATTATGATATTTTTCTTTTTTATGACCTATCCCTTTCTTAATGATTCCTAACATTCTGTGAACGTTTTTGACGGCCGTGGCACATTGAGTGGATGTTTTCAGAGAACTATCCACAATGGCTCCAAGATCTCTTTCTTGAGTGGAAACAGCTAATTTAGACCCCATCATTTTATAGGTATAGTTGGGATTATGTTTTCCAGTGCGTATTACTTTGCATTTATCAACACTGAATTTCATCTGCCATTTTGTTCGTGAGGTCCCTTTGTAACTTCGCAGTCACCTTTGGCCTTAACATTTTGTAGTGTCTGCAAATTTTGCCACTTCACTGTTCTCTCCTTTTTCCAGCTCATTAATGAATACATTGAACAGCACAGGGCCCAGTGCAGTTCCTTGGGGGACCCTGCTATTTACTGTTCACCACTGTGAAAACTGACCATTTATTCCTACCCTTTGGTTCCTGTCTTTTAACCAGTTACCGATCCATGACCAGACCTGCCCTCTTATCCATGACTGGTAACGTTGCTTAAGAGCCTTTGGTGCAGGACCTTGTCAAATGCTTTCTGCAAGTCCACTGTACTACACTCAGTGCACTATGGCGACTGGCTCACTCTTGTCCGCATGCTTGCTGCCATGTGGACATGTTTTGGGTCAAAGAAGTCTAATAGAGTGGGCAGCATTATTTCCCATTACAAAAGGGAACTGTTCCCCCAACATATCTTATTTAGCTGGTTGTAATTGCCAAAATTGCCTGGTGAGGCCTTTTTCAAAAGCAGGCATTACATTAACTACCCGCCAGCCATCTCGGACACGGGCTGATGTGTGCAATAGCTTACATGCTGCAGTTAGTATTCCTGCAAGGTCATACTGGAGTTTCTTCAGAACTCTTGGGTGAAGACCATCTGGTCCCGGTGACTTTGTTACTGTTTAGTTTATCAAAACCTCCTCTATTGATGCCTCAAGCTGAGACAGTTCCTCAGATCTGTCACCTAAAATGAATGGCGTGGGCATAGGGACTTTCCCCCACACCCTCGGCAGTGAAGACCAACGCAAAGAATTCATTTAGCTTCATCACAACAGCCTTTTGTTCCTAGCACCATACTCATCCAGTAGCCCTGCTGACTTTTTGGCAGGCTTCCTAGTTCTGATATACTTAAAAAAAATTTTGCTGTTAATTTTTGTGTCCTTAGTTGTTCTTCAAATTCTTTCTTGGCCTGTCTTGTACTTTTACATTTGACTTGACAGAGTTTTCTATTTCTGTGCTCTTTTCTGTTTTCCTCACTAGGCTTTGACTTCCAATTTTTAAAGAATGCCTTTGTAGTCTGCCGTTTAGCCGTAGTAGCATTTGGGGGGGGGGGGGGCGGGGGGGTCTTGTACAAATTTTTTATTATTGTTATTATTATTAGTAGTAGTAGTATTTTGGGTATACATTCAGTTTGAGTCTCTATTATGGTTGAAGTTAAATGCTGCTCTGGTGGGCTTCTTTAGCATTTCCCCCCTACAAGGATGTTAAATTTAATTACGTTGTGGTCATTATTACCTCTTGCACCAGATTCTGTGCTCCATTTATGACTAAACCAAGGATTGCCACTCCCCTTGTGGGTTCCAGGACTTGATGCTCCAAGAAGAATTTATCTATGGTGTCTAGAAATTTTATCTCTGCATCCCGTCCTGACATGACATGTTCCCAGGCAACATGTGGGTAATTGAAATCCCCCATTATTGTTGTGTTTTCTGCCTTTGTAGCCTCTCTAATCTCCTTGAGCATTTCACAGTCACCGTCACCTTCCTGGTCTGGTGGTCAGTAGTATATTTCTACTGCTGTACTCTTATTATTCAAGCCTGGAATTTCTATCCAGAGAGAGTCTATGGTGCAGTTCAGTTCACTGAAGATTTTTTTTGACTCTATGCTTTCTGTATTGTGTATCCTGGTATCACCATGTCCAGTGTATTAGCCTCTTTCTACCACGTTTCTGCAATGCCTATTATATCAATATCCTTATTTAATGCCAGGCACTCTCGTCCAGCCATCTTAGTATTTAGACGTGTAGATAAGCGTATGTACATTTGGTCCATATTTAGTTGCTCATCTTCATGTTTTATTTAAATGGAACTCTTTGACGTTGGATTGTTCCTCACAAGCTC